AACTCGAAAACTAAAGCTTTCCCTTAATTGCGGATAAGGAAAAAGTTGTTCAGAATCGTGCCCCTGATAACATATTAAAAGGACATTAAAATCGTCCAAAGTTGATTTCAAAACTCTTCAACAATTTTCGCTAATATCTCGAAAACTAAAGCTTTCCGCGAAATTTGTATATGAACAAAATTGTTCAGAATCATGTCCGTGATAAGATACTAAAAGCGCACTAAAATCGAGAAAACTTTATTTCAAAAGTTGCCGGTTTTTTGCAATAACAATACTTCGCAATTAAAAACTGAAAAATTTTTTCATAATGGTACCAATGGGGAGTCAGCACCTACCATATGCAAAAGGTTTCGTTCCGATCGGTCCATCCAGCTAGGCGTAATGCGCGAACATACATAGAAAAAAAAAATATATGTATATACTGATCGATTTGAGTAACCTCCTCCTTTTTCGAAGTCGGTTAAAAATATAAACAGCCCTTCGAGCGAATTCGTTGCCGGCGAGCGTGCCGTCCCGTATGTGCGTGCGTTTATGAGTGAGAGAGAGAGAGAGAGAATGAGTAACGCGCCGAACGTTAGGAAACGATCGCGAGGCTTCGAACAACCGAAGATTCGCGAATTGTTCGAACGCCGAAAATCGAGAATGTTCGGTCACCGCGTTAATATAAGGGTGTGTCCGCGGTGCGAGCGTGAGAATAGAAAGTAACGAGATACGAGCGAGTGTGCAAGTATGATTACGATTACGGTTACGATTTACGGTTACGATTTACAGTTCACGATTACGGTTACGATTTACGTTCATGGTTTACGAATTACGGTTTTTGGACTTTTGTACTTTTGTTTCTCGTGCGTGCGTGTGTATTTTTGTAATTTTTCGTGTAATTTTGACTACTGTTTCGTCGTGTGCTATAATAAAGGCTTAGTTTAGAAAATACTAATCCTACAATTCTAACAACAATTACAATAGTATTTATTTAGACTTCAATTAAGTTCCAATATAATATTGTAATGTCCACTATTAACCAGTTAAGTGTGTTTGACGACTATATGATGATAATATCCATCATGGAGATGTGGCAGAATTTTGAGTCATGACGACTATATCCGTCATGCGTAAAATTTTGTTACAATTTGATATTTAAATTGTAATTTTGGCGAAAACTAAATTATATTCGTAAATTGTAATATGTTTAAAATGTTTAGAGGTCAACACGAAATGAAATAAACAAACAAAAAGTGTAAATGATTCGAGATGGATTCATAAATTCTTGAGAGCTAATTCGTCATCGCTTGATTATCGCGACACACACTGGTGCGCGCTTTGCAAAAAGATCGCCACAGTTAACTGGTTAATACAGTAAAGTAAGCCAATTACTAGTTTTTCAATTTTGGGGCGAGGAATATCTAGAAGAAAAGTTAGCGCATGATACAAATGCATCTAACAAAGAAACATATCGAACCCCGACACACCGATTTTAATGAAACTTATGTGAAAGATAGTTCTCAAAAAAATATTTGACACGTATTTTTTTTTATCGGCAATCGTTCACATTGAAGGGGTGAAAATAGCCCTCGAAGTTGGGGGTTGAAACCATGTTTTTGGGAATATCTCCGGAACAAAAGAAGATAATTGAATTCTTTTTTTTGTAAATTGTTCGTCTTTAGATAGGAAATTTTTATGCGTAAAAAAATTTCAAGAAACTTTATTTGTTTAAATAATATTTTAAAAATTCATCATTTTTGTTTAAATTTTTGCACTAAATGTTGATCTACTTTTTTGCAACTTCGTGTACGTAAACTATGGACAAAAATAGAGGATACGTGTTTTTGGAATTTGTTGTTTGTTGCAATGTTTATTAGATATATAATTTAACATCACCTCCTGTGAAGAGGGGCAATCATCATTTTTATTAAAAATATCATTATTTTTACAATCTTTTACATTATTTTAGCGATTTTATACCTCTTCATATGCCGTTAATTGATTTCTCAATAATTATTGTAAGCATCACAGGTATGAGCGTGTCGCGGTTATGATTAACGCCGCGTCATAAGGAACATAGGCTTTTATGGCCAATATTGTTAAAAAATAATTTAATTTATTTTTATTTTCTGAGTTTCTTAAAAAATCCCAATGTTTCCAAAAGTTCTAAATATTTTATTTAGAATGAAGTCTTTACGCCTGTAAAAGTATAAAAGCAGTATTGGCCATAAAAGCCTATGTTCCTTATGACGCGGCGTTAATCATAACCGCGACACGCTCATACCTGTGATGCTTACAATAATTATTGAGAAATCAATTAACGGCATATGAAGAGGTATAAAATCGCTAAAATAATGTAAAAGATTGTAAAAATAATGATATTTTTA